AAAAAGAAGGAAAGAAAACAGAAATCAGGGGAGAGCAAGCCTTACGAAGGCCTTTCCCCTGGGAGTACCAGTCCCCCCCCCCCCCCCCCAAGCAGGTCAGAGCCTGTGTCCTCAGACGCCCCCGCGGGCCAGGTCACCCACGGTCTGGGGAGAGCCTTGAACGGCTGCCAGCTGACGTGGAGTTCTGTTTAAAAGGCAAACAGCCAAGAAAAAGCTGTTGGATTAATTAGACAATTCATACAAAACATATCCAGTGGTTGAAAGAGAATGGAATATCTACATTCTAGTCCTTTCCAAATAAATTACAAAACATACAAACATATGACAGAATGGTGTATATGCTATGATTCTAATTTTAAGAGAACATGATGTGTGTGTGTGTGTGTGTGTGTGTGTGTGTTTAATACATGCTTTGAAACATTCTCCAATAGTGGGTTCCAGAAGCTGGGAAGGGTGTGGGGGATGGGGCAGAGGGAAGGCCGGTAGGAATGCAGGTGCAGTTAGAGAGGGAGGTCACTTTCCAGTGATCTTAGCACAGTGACAACGTGTAACTATGTATTTCTAAATAGCCCTCCAGAGGATCTGGAACGTTCCGGACACAAGGAAAAGCCCATGTTTGGAGTGATGCAGCCACTAGTTACTCTGACGTGATTGCTGCACGTAGAAATATCACACTCTTCTCCAGGAGTCTGCAGTGGCTAGGTGTGAACTAGAAACAACAACAACCAAAATAGTGAAAAGAGCAAGGGAAGGATTACACGCATTCTCAGAGGCGAGCGAAAGCTGACCCGGTCCCCTCCTCTGTCCACGGAAAGGTCCTTCCCAGAATCAGCGCTCTAGCCTGCAGCCTCAGAGCTACCACTCCTCCCCACGATCTCCGGAAGCCCTCGGAGAAGTGGCCACCCAGGTCTAGAGCAGGAGAGGAGTCTAGAATTGTCCTACCTCGTCTGTGTGAGACGTCCCTCAAGCTGTGCAAGGAGTAGACTTTATCCGTGTGTGTGTGTGTGTGTGTGTGTGTGTGTGTGTGTGTGTGTGTGTGATTAAGAAGGTGCACTGGCCATGTGGATCAGTGCAAAGAGTGCTTGCTGATCCTGCCCAAGGCCGTCTTTCCTGCTCCAGGAAAACAGAAGAAGACAAACAGAAAAGGGGGGCGTGGAATCATGGATCTGCAAGAAATACCAAGTCAGCCTGCGCCGGCCGGCTGTGCCCATGTGAGTATTCCGTCCTAACGTGGCGGGACCAGCCTCCATGTTAGAGGCTCCCCAGGCCGAGGACACACCGATGGCCCTTGTCACTGACGCGGGGCCATTGCACAGATCTATGGCCACCCAGCTAGGATGAGGAGCAACGTGTTCTGGAATGCTCTCCCACAAAAAGGTGACTGCTGTCACAAATGATTCCTATTCGGCTCAGAAGATACAGAAGGGACGCTCTGAGCACGTCACCGCCCTGGCTTGGGTAGTGGAACCTTCTTTAGTGGCCACGTGAAGGTTGTCCCGTTATCCGGGTGACAGGGGGCTGAAGTGGCCAGGCCATTAGTGACAACCCCCCCCCCCCAGGACCTCCCCCACCTCTGCGGAGGACACGGGGACTCAGAGGAGCAGTGTGGTGATCTGTAGTCATCTGTCCTGATCGCTGGCCCTTCCAGCCCCCGGGAGATTTGTCCCTCTCCTCGTGGGACTTTGATCTCTGTCCAGTTGATTGCCTTCCAGCGGCTATCCGCTCCGATGCCCGGCTCACTGCGTCCGCCCAGTGTAACGGGCCGTCAGATCTTCCAGTACAGAATTCCCCCAGGAAAAGTTCAGTCGTGGAATTTAACTCTCACCGGCCATCGAGACCATCCACACACCGCCCGCCCTTGTGTGGAAACACGGAGAAAATCTCAGGCCCGGGTGCCACGGCGTGTGGGCGGCTTTACGCCTATCTTTCCCTGCAATCCTCTTCCCTGATCAGCGTCCAGGTGGGAGGAATCGCCTGCTGCCCGTACCACACTGGGTGATCCATGGGCCGAGACCCAAGCCGTAGGAGGTAGCGGGGCGGCAGTGTTTTCTGTGGGAATGGTTAGGACTTAGGAAATTCCAGCCACAGTCTTGGTGTCATCAGCACAAGGTCGTAGAGCTTTCCTGGGAGCTTGGGGAGGAACAGCCCCGGATCAATCCATTCCCTCTTTCATCTCTGGTGCCTGTGTTGGACTTAACTTCAAGGGGCTGATAGCACCTCCAAAGTTTACCTCAGAAACCAGATTAACAAGGCCAGAAGAGGAGCCTGGTTTGAGTGGTGGAGTGGTTTCGTGCTCCTTATCAGAGCCTGAAGTTGTTTATTTGTTCTCTCTGTGTTTACTGTTTGTCCTTCAGGAGAGTGTAAACTCCATGCAGGCAGAAATTGACTTGGGTCACATAAATACATTAATCAATTGTTGGGAAAAAACATCCACCTGGCTGGAACGGTCCGGTGTTCACAGGCCTGTCCACATGTCCGTGCTGCAGCGGGCATGCCTCCTGCACTTCCGGAGAATTCTGAGCAAATGGACAGCGTTGTGATCATTGTGTGTGTGAGACGTGGTTTCCCTCAGAGCCCCTGGAAATGGCAGCGGGCGGTTTTCAACAACTTTCCCACATGCAGCTAGGCAGTCAGCGGGGTCGGGAGCTGGAGTCTGGATTCAGCCGGCTCTGGGCCGCCTGCACCAGGGCTTGCTCTGCGTGATTTCCTGAGCACAGCTTCTCAGGCAGGCTACGAGGAAGTTCCGTGTGAACTGTGAGCGTGCAGCATGCCAGGGCTGCCTGACCCTGCCATGTGGACATGCAGACGTGTGACCTGTGACCAGTGCTGGCAACTCAGTTCACACCCAGGTTTGGAACGGCTGGTGAGCTGTTTGCTAATCTAATCTCTTATCCAGTTTATGGATAAGAGAGGGTAAACCCCTGGTCAGACCAGCAGTGTCTACACCGGTGATGGAGGAGATTAGGGGAGCTGCTGCCCAGCCCCTCCTCTCTCCTGACCTGTTGTCAGCTCTGGCACAGGTTAACTGGTGCACCCTGTTTGCAGGTCAGAAACTGAAATGGGCGTGAGAGACCCTAGGAAGGAAGGAGCAGAAGCTTCTCCCTGAGGGTGGCTGGTCATCTGGAAGAGAGATCTTGTTGGTGGCCACCAAGATAGCACTGACACCTGTTGACAGATTCCCCAGGGACAAAGTCAGCAGCCAAGCGAAGACCCTGCGGTAGAGTTCAGAAATAGGAAGGCAGGACCCAGAGGAGCACCAGCCATTCGTGAGAGGTTTACGGTCTGAGTTCACGAGGCGGAATGTCATTGAACACTTTTAATTTGCTTTAAATATTCTATGGTGTTTAGTAGACATGTAATGCTGGAAACACCTCCTATTCGCAGTCTTAACTGTCAGCTGGAGGCTCACTCATGAGACCCATATTAGCAAAAATCTGTCAGACTGGTGAGCAGTGAAAAGCCAGAGGAGAGGTAGGACTTAGGAGGAGAGGTAGCACTTAGGAGGAGAGGTAGGACTTAGGAGGAGAGGTAGGACTTCGGAGGGATTCCCATTCACTGCCGCGTGGTGCCACGGGCCGACACCCGTCAATGGGTGGACAATGTGTGTGTGTCATTCAGAGTGGACGTAAACTTCTAACGCAGACAACCTTTACCCAGTAATCGCACTTCTATGGTCCAGTATGTGAACACTGGTGCAAAAGGTCCCGAATCCATAATCCTTTAACAAGGAACAGAATTCTGCTACATGCTCCGACACGGCCAGGCTTTGATTGAGTGAGCGGGTGAAATAAGCCACAAATAGCTTGTCAAGAAGTGGCAATGCGCAGAAGCTTCACACAAGCTCAGACGTGTCCTTCCACTCTGAGGAAGTGCCTAGAATAATCAGATTCATGGACACAAAGTAGGACGGTGTACTTTAGGGATTAGGGGAGGGAGAACAGGGAGACACTGGTTGGTGGGTGCAGAATTTCTCTTTGGGGTAATGAAAGAGCTTGGAATTGGTAGTGGTAAATGTGGATGAGCTAGCTGTCTTTGAACTGTGTGCTGCAAACACAGTCAAGTGAGTTCATTCGAGTCAAGTATGTCCATATGACGAACTTCTATGCAGCTGTGAGAGACAAGGGCACTTTTTAATAGATTGAAATGTGTGTTGGGTATTTTGGTTTCTCCTTTAGGTTCACTGTGAACGGTCTTTGTTTCCTGGAAGGCATGTGTGTTTGTGTGTGTGTGTGTGTGTGTGTGTGTGTGTGTGTGTGTGTGTGCGGTGGGGAGGACTTGAACTCAGAGCTGCACACTCTCTCTTGGCTTTTTTTGCTCAAGGCTGGTGTCATGCCTCCACTTCTAGCTTTCTGTCGGTCAATTGAAGATAAGAGCCTCATTTCTGCAGGCTGACCTCAATCTGAGATCACTGAGCAGCTGGGATTACAGGTGTGTGCACAGTGCGCGGCGAGGACAAGTCCGCCTGGCCATCGAGCTTCTGTCCTCCGTGATCAGACCCACTGGGGAACACCTGGGCCCTCGTGGTCAGGACAGTGGTGGTCACGTGGTTGGGTGGCCTTGGTGACAGCAGTTCCCAGGACACGGGGAGACCTGCCAAGTGCAGCTTCTGTGGACAGCTAGCATCTGGGCACAATCAGAGTCCTCAGAAGTGAGCGGTAAGTGCTTCCCCTGGTACATCGTGTCACGAACGAGGAGGCCCGGGACTCAGTGGGCCTCCTCTGGTTGAGGACACGTTGAGGTGTGCTGCTGGGATCACTCAGCTCTGCCCGAGCCCAGTGACTGGCAAGGTTTCCCACACCCGCCTCTGGGGCTATGCCTGCCCGGCACAGCTGGCGTTCCTGAAGGCTCTGTGACAGACAGGAGACGGCGGGAAGCTGCCGCCGCCGCCGCCAGGAAGCCCCCGGGGGGCCTTGGGGGCTTCCCAAGGCCGGCTCCCCTCTCCTGACTCCTTGCCCGCTTGGAGAACTTGGCTTCCTACCCAGCTCCATTAAACACCAAGCAACTCTCTCCCTATGGCATAGGGTACTAATGAACTTCCTGTACCGAATCACCCCCCAGATGGTACTCATGCCTCGTGTTCACGTGATGGACGGGTGCAGAAGCATTCCAATGTTAAGTGACACGGAAGAGCAGGAGGTCTGGAAAGCCCCGCGGTAAGCACCTGGTCAGGTAACACAGGCGCTCCCTGGATGGGCTGGGCAGGCTGTGGCCTCTCTCTCTCGACTTCCACCTAAGGCCGCTCTTGGACCCTGGTAAACAAACGGCATAAAGACGCCCCCCGGGACCCCCGGGGCCCTTTCTGGTGTGCAGGAGAGGCAGACGGCTGCAGCCTCACGCAGAGTCAAGGGACGCCCCTCTGCGTGGCGTCCAGTCTGCAGGGGGGAGCGGTTGGCAGGATGCATGAAGCCGAACTTGCTCATGGTGGTGGCTAATGCATCAATCGGCTTCTTACAGAAACAGAGGAATAATGGGAGATTAAGGAGGAAAAAGCTGGTCTGGAGGAGAGGTGTGGAGCTGGCGTGGACAGGGAGATTGTTCACCAAGGAGCTGCACAGGAAGGTGGTGTACAGCTTGGTTCACACTGTGCGTGTCATCCACCTGCCGCTCCGTCATTCTGGCTCCCGCTCAGAGGGACGGGGTGGCCTGTGTGCAGGAGAGGAGACCAGAGCTTACCAGCTGTGGCCACTGCCATAGCACCTCTTTGAGAAGCAGTGCCTACTTAAATCCTTTGCCCCTTTGTGATTGGGGTTCCTGTTTATTGCTGTACCTTCGGAGTTCTTTATGTGTTTTGTATACTAAACCCTTGCTAGAATTGAAACGCTTGACAAGGATCTGAAAGTATCGTCTCCCCTTTCATGAGTAGTTTTGGTGACTTTGACATACAGAGCTCTTGATGAAATCCAAGCCAATTTACTTACTTTTCCTTTGGTTGCTGTATTTTCAGGGTCACAGCCAAGAATCTGAAGTCACAAAGATTTACAACTACGTTCTCTCCTAAGAGTCTTGTGATTGTTGCTGTTAGTCTCCTGCTCTGGTTCATGTAGTTCATCTTCGCTGCCATAAGGCAGAGCTGTGCATCACTCCATTCTTGGTTTCACGTGGATGACCAGCCATCGTGTGAAAGCCTTTCCCATTCTTCTGGATAGCAAGTGGATGTGAGTGTTGTCGTTGACCTCTGTCCTGTTGACTTTCACGGCCGCCATTCCCGTGCCATCCTGTCCTGACTTCACAGTTCAGGAAAACGTGAAGACCTTCTGCTCTTCCTCATACCTTTGAGTTCTGTGTGTTTCCATATGAATTTGAGGATCACTATGTCCTTCTCTTTTTTGGAAAAAGAGCCAGCTGGAACTTTGGTAGGAATTGCAATCAATTTCTAAATCTCCCTGCTATTTTATTTTATCTTTGTTTTGCCAGTCTTGGAGCTTGCTCTCAGGGCCTGGGCACTGTCCTTGAGCTTCTTTTTGCTCAAGGCTAGTGTTCTACTACTTGAGCCACAGCGCTACTTGTGGCCTTTTCTGTGTATGTGGTACTGAGGAATCAAACCCAGGGCTTCATGGATGCTGAGCGAGCACTCTACCACTCAGCCACGTTCCCGGCCTCCTGCTATTTTAAATGTCACAGCTGAAGTGAGTTGTATTGATTAGTCTGTCAAGAGGCAGGGTGTCAAGAGGCATGGGTGCTCTGTCTCCTTGTGTTGGGAGGTACGAGCTCCTCCTGGAGGCAAAGGAGAACCCTGGGTGCACAGATGCAACCAGACCGGCCAAGGCTGGCGTCTTCTCTTTTGTTTTTCTTTCCTGCCCTCCCCGCTTAGGATGTGTTTCTGCACCACCCTCCACCCTGCCCTGGGCCCAGAAGGCCAAACTCTGTGGACCGTATCAGCCACGCCCCCTTGTCCTTTGGCTCTGAGGGATTCAGCCAGTAGGAGGCCCAGCAGGAAGGACCTGGAGGATGGGAAGGAGGAGAAGCTGAAGTTCCTTCCATGCCTTCGCAGCTCCCTCCCTCAGGTAGTGGCGGTGGCTGTGTTTTCTACCAGCTGCCCTAGTCCAGTGGGGTTACCATGCCTGTATTGTCAGTCCTGTTGGGCTCTGGCATGCAGTCTATCTTCCTACTTAGGAGTGTAATCGTGGGTAGCTTTCCCAAGTTGCTAGCCCCAAGCGCATTGCCTCGCTATTATTTTCTCCTAACCCTGCCAAAATTGTTGTCTTCTTCTCCTCCTCCTCCTCCTCCTCTTCGTCCTTCTCCTCTTCCTTCTTCCTCTTTTCCTTCTCCTTCTTCTTCTACCAGTCCTAGGGTTTGAACTCAGGGCCTGGACACCGTCTTGAGTTTCTGTGCGCAAAGCTAATGCTCTACCACTTGAGCCACAGCTTCACTTCTGGATTTTTGCTGTTTAACTGGCGATAAGAGTCTCACGGACTTTTCTGCCCAGGCTGGCTTTGGATCACAATCTTCAGATCTCAGCTCCTGAGTTGCTAGGATGACAGTGATGGTTTCTGGCCTAAAATGGTTCTGTTCTTGTCATTAACTTCTCTTTAAATACCTGTTTGCATTGTATCTTCTGCTTCCTGTTCTCTTCTGGAAGTGCAAAATAGGAAAATCTAGCAGGTCTATTGCTAAATCAAAGAAGATTCCTCCTGAGTGTGCAAGCTACTTACAATCTCTCTCATCCCAACTTCTTTTTTTCCTAGTGTGTTCATTTTTAGAAGTCAAATGACTGATGTTCTCATGGGAAGGAAGACCGATGGAGCCCATTTAATGATTTCAATCATTAACCTGCTGGATGACCCCAAGTTTCCATCAGCTTCATGTCCCAAAAATATCACCAGGAGTCTGAAGAGCCATTTTTCTCTGCAAATCAAAGTCTGAAGAGAAGCACCTTGGCTGTCCACCTGCCGAGCGTGGGGCCCCTGTGCTACAAATTAGAGGCGATGCTTCTTTTTTACCAACACTCAGTGATTTGTTACTGAGACTATAACCCAACATCAAAGCTATCCTTGCCAAATAACCCTGCAGTGTTTTCAAGCTATGCATTGATTGATATCTGTGTTGTCCCTGATGGCCTGTCCAGTTACAGACCAGTTCCATTGAGAAATGGAATTATACTGATAAAGTATAATTGGTTACATCAGCATTTCTGGCAGTACCAAATCTTACCAAGAGCATGTGATTAAAAGCTTCCTGTGTTAGGGTGGGGAAGGTGGCTTAGTGGTAGAGCGCTTGCCTAGCATGCATGAAGCCCTGGGTTCAATTCCTCAGTACCACATAAAAAGAAAAAGCCAAAATTGGCGCTGTGGCTCACGTGCTAGTCCCGTGTTGAAGGCCTAAGACTAATTTTTAAAAATGGTGATGAAGCAAAACTGTGGTTCAAAGTAAAGTGGAGTATTCGCCTTAAGCAAAAGAGCTCAGGGACAGCACCCAGTCCCTGAATTCAAACCCCATGACCAAAAAAGAAAGAAAGAAAGAAAGAAATATAAAAGAAAGAAAGAAGGAAAGAAGGCAGGAAGGCAAAAAAGAAAGAAAGAAAGAAGAAAGAAAAAGAAAGGAAGGAAGAAAGGCAGGAAGAAAGAAAGAAAGAAAGAAAGAAAGAAAAAGAAAGAAAGAAAGTGAGGGTTGGGAAGGTGGCTCAGTGGTAGAGCGCTTGCCTTGCATGCTTGAGGCCCTGGGTTCGATTCCTCAGCACCACATAAGCAAAAAGAAAAAAAGCCGGAAGTGGCACTGTGGCTCAAGTGGTAGAGCTCTTGCCTTGAGCTGAAGAGCTGAGGGACAGCGCCCAGGCCCAGAGTTCAGGTCCCACGACTGGACCCCCCAAAAAAAGAAAGAGTGAACAAAGACTAGCTGTCTTTGGCCCAGGGCATGGGCTGCCGTGTGGAGGTTGCACAGTGGGACGTGACTTAAGAGGAAGAAAGAAGCCTTCAGGATCACTTCTTGGGCTCAATACGTTGAATCGGTATTTCTTCATTTTGAATGATATATTAGAAAGAGGCGTGGACATCTTGATACTCCAGGTATAATTAAAAACCCCGTTCTCGGTATTTCAAGTGCTTAGTCCTGTGACTGTGTTTTAATCTGACATAGTACACACGTCTCCATCTGGAGGAAACATTCTAAGTGGATGGTCTTATAAAAACAGGACAAAGACTTCCAAAGTGTGAAGCCCATGATGGCCAGGCCTCCTGTGATCTTCGCTCCCTCCGATGACCCGGAGGCAGACTGCTGGCCTAAAAAGACCCATACTGGCAAGACAGAGTGAGCTCAGTAACAGACCGTTGTAATAAAGCAACTGTCACCACTGCAAAAGCGACCTACACTGATGTTTTTGGCTTTTCATTGCATCTGGAAGCTATAGGCATGATAGTATAGCATGTCTGTTAAGTATGCAATAGCACATGTCTACAAATGTACATATTTAAAAATACTTTATTGTGCCCGGTGCTGGTGGCTCATGCCTGTAATCTTAGCCACCAGATTTCAGGAGGCTGAAATCTGAGGATTGCAGTTCAAAGCCAGCTCAGGCAGGAAAGTCTGTGAGACTCTCATCTCCAAACAAGAAAGTGGAGCTGTGGCTCACGTGGCAGAGCATTAAGACTTAAGAGAAAAAGCTCAGGGACTGCGCCCAGGTCCTGAGCATCTCTGTGATAAATGATAGAATCTGAGATGGATGCCAGTGTTCTCCATGATTTATGTGGACTAAGAAAATTAATACAAAGAAGGGTGGTTTTGTGCTTATGATAGCAGCTGTTTGGGAAACATTGCGTCCTCATAACTGGTTCTAACCAGCAGAAGCTGAGCAACTGTGCACGGTCCACCCTCTGTGTATGGAAGCCTTTGTTCCTGTCCCGTGAGAACAGGACTAGCACAATGTACACACTTGCACTTGTGTATCCAGAGCACAACCCTTACTTCTTCATCAACCTGCCCGCAGCCAGCCTTCCCGCCTCTCTCTCTTGTTCCGGATCTGCCCTGGCCTCCTGTTTGGGGAAGCTTTTCACTGGCACATGTGTGGGCAATGAATAAGCCCACACCGCCTTTTTCTGATCCCTGTGTTGGCTTTACCAGCTCAGAATAACCCAAGGATGTCGGTTCTAACATGATACCCATCTCATTATTCCCAGGGCCCAGAAAGGCCTTGTTTAGGATCACATTGTGAGTATCTATCCTACGCGGAGCTGGGCTTTGAACTTTGGGAGACTCACTCCCTGTTCTTTACTGTAAGTCTGTGGAGATGGCAGTGAAGGGCCTGGTGAATGCTATTGCCTGAATAGGTCCACCCACTTCCCATGGAGAGTGCCCCGGGGGTGTGTAAAGACCCGGACCATGAGGCAGAGAGCGCCCGGAGAAGAAGCAAGGGGAGGGGAGACGAGCAGTGAGGCCCAGTAGCCACCACTGCAGCCTGATCTTTGGAGCTGGCCTCGCGTTTAGCGTGGAGGTAGGCCTGGAATGGTCCCCGAATTGGGACAGAGCGAGAGGAATAGTTCTATCTGGGCGAATCGACCCACTGCTCGCCTGGTCTAGGGGTCACTGGGCTGCTTTTCCCCAGGGGTTTGGTGTCCAAGCTGTCCAGCGACAGTCACAGTTGACGGCTCTGCTCCCGCCAGCTCACCTTCCCACACATCTTGGCTGGGACACGGGTGGCCTCTCTCCGTGTTCTGCTGGGGCAGCTGGTGACTGGGCTGTGGGAACAGCCTGTGGAAAACAGTCCCACGGAAGAGGAGCGCAGTGAATGTACAGGGCGTATGCGCAGCGGAGTGCATTTTGAAAGCACCGCAAATCTCTTTCTTTTGCACAATAAGGTGATTGATTTTCAAGGCCCTAGATGAGGAGCTCGATGCTCCCGAACTATTCCCACAGAGGCAGGGAGTCTGACTTCACCTTCCTTAAAGCCACCAGCTCCTTATCCACGCTGCTTATTACAATGATTCTTGAAGAGATGCATAACGAAAGGAGGGACTATCTTAATGTGTTTGCTGTGTCTCTCTCTTCACCAAGAACACATTCTCATTTTATAATGAGACTCTGAATCTCACTTGTCCGAAGGCCTCCCTCGTCCACAGAGCCTTCTTTGTTAACTTTCTCCTTTCTAACGTCTAGCGTTGAGATAGTTGGATCCGCACAGGAGCATATTCTGTGTGACGTCCCTCCCTCACCTCTCATCTCCCATATGCTACATAAACACAGATAGACACGTCCTTTCTCTCCAACAAACGCAGCTGTTTCCTAAGCACGAGGATTTTAGCTTCGACTTTCCCCTCATATAGCTCCTGACATGTGCCCAGTGTGAAGTACTGCCCCTGGAAAAATCTACTGATCCCGTTCCTTGTCTTCAAAAAGGATGTTTCTGGGAAAAAAAGTTAAGGACTTCACAACCACCTAGACTGGACAGATCGCTATAACAACTTTTCTACAAAACCCTTGGTTTGTTAGTTTGACCCTTCAGCCCTGGACATGTACACCACCTGGATCTGTGATGGTGAGATGGCACAGTCTCTATTAAGTCCTGAGAAACTGGGAGGAAAATCACAAAGGGGTTTTGAAAAAATATATAGGGCTGGGAATGTGGCTTGTGGTAGAGCACTCACCTTGCATGTATGAAGCCCTAGGTTTGACTCCTCAGTACCATATACACAGAAAAAGCTGGAAGTAGTGGTGTGTGGCTCAAGTGGTAGAGTGCTAGCCTTGAGCAAAAAGAAGCTCAGGGACAGTGCTCAGGCCTGAGTTCAAGCCCCAGGACTGGCAGCACACACACACACACACACACACACACACACACACACACACACACACACACACACACACACACACACACACACACACACACACACACACACACAGAATTCCCAAGTACACATTCATTGCTAACTTCTCAGCCTCCTGAGAGTAGGAGAAGGCGGATTTTTGTCCGCCCCTTCTACAGTGCCATAAAAACAAATTACATATTTGGATCATAGGGAATGGATGCAATATTCAAGTTGAGATCGGGAGAGGAGAGCCAGGGGATGGCGGCTGGAGTGTCGATGAACCAAGCTGAGCGGAGCAGAGCTCAATGGAAAATCCACGTTTCTCCCAAGCCCCCAGCACCGGTGAGTTTGTATGTTAGTGCAGGCCAGGGTCTGAGTCCCGCTCACCTCCATGGGACCCCCTCCCCCCTCCTGCTGGAGGTGTGGCAGATGGGGCGAGGCTGAAAGCATGCTTGCTCAGACTCCCGCTGGACCGAGTGAGCCCGCGGAGCTCTTTCTGCTCCCAGAGCGTGTGTGGTGTGTGTTGCTTGGTGCCTAGACCTTCCACGGTGCCCTTCCAGAGGGTTTTCTCGGGTCCGAGCCCCGCGTCCCTCACGCCCCGTCATCTGGAAGTGCCCGTGTGCTCCGTGGAGCTCCTCAGTGCCGTGGGACTGCGCCTCGCGTGTCTGCCTGGGTTTTTCCTCGGGGGTGTGCGCACCTTCCCCCTGCCCCATCCACAGCACGGCTCAGAGCCTGCGGCTCCTTCCAGAGTGCTCACCGGATGACACTGAGCGCCAACAAGCATTTGTTCATGGTGTGCAGGTGGGACAATGTTCATCCGTCCACACCCACACCAGCTCGTGTCTGCTGGGTGACACGGAGGGCGGCTAACTCACCCGAGCAGAGCAGGGATGTGAGGCCGGGAGAGCAAGCATCCCGACTCAAGCGCTGCCTCTGGCAGGGAGGGCACTGGCTGCTTCTACACGTCACCTGGACAGTACCTTAGTTACTTATTTGGTGCTGGTCCTGGACTTGAACTCAGGGCCTGGGCCCTGTCCTGGAGCTCTTTGGCTCAAAGTTAGCGCTCTACTGCTTGAACCACAGCTCCACTTCTGGCTTTTGGGTGATTCATTAGAGATATGAGTCGCATGGACTTTCTTGCCTGGGCTGGCTTCAAACTGTGATCCTCAGACCTCAGCCTCCTGAGTAGGCAGGATTGTCGATGAGAGGCGTCAGCGCCCGGCTGAAATCACACAACCCCATTCTCTGGCTTCCAACATGCCAGCAGCTCCCTAGCGCTGTGTTGTGGTGAAACCCACAGCCCGAGTCTGGTCTCACAGCTCATCTCCGTGCCATCACCTGCTGCCCTCCCCCCGGCCCCCTCCCCCCTCCCCCCCCACGGCCCTCCCCCTGTTCCCACCTGCAAAATCCACGCAAGGCGGT